CTTGGCTTTGGATTCTAGTACTAATAGTTATTAAGAACTAATAGAAATATATATACCTTTTAGTATATCTTAATATTCTCGAGTTTATATTATAATACTATATTATATTATTATATTAAATTAGAGATTAATTTCAGGCCTTACTCTCCTATTTAATAATAGCCGATCTATTAATACAGGTTATATAGGCAGATCTATAAATCGACCCGACTTTATACTTTCTTCCAGATCTTTATAGTTAGTTTTTAGTTAACTTGGTTTCGAGGTAATTAAACTAGATATATATCCGTAATAATCTCTCTATAATTATAAATTCACTTATAAATCCATAGTAGCGAGATAGCTATTAGGATATCTTAAAGAAATCTGGCTTAGCCTTAATATAAGCCTTTATATCTTTATTTTAAATAAAATATGCCTAATATTATTTTTCTAGGCCATATATATTATAAGAATTAGTTTGAATATGCTTAAATATCCAAAGTTTAAAACTATTTTATAGATATATCCCTACCCCGAAATTCCTCTTTCTATTTACGAAGGTAATATTACTACTTTATACGAATTATAGAGATAGTTATTCGCTCCGGTTTCAATACTATATATTATATATATAAATAATTAACTTATGGGAATTAAAGTATATAGTACTCTAGAACTATCTACTAGTATTAATGGAATTAGATTCCTTTATAATATAGGTATAGAATACATACTAGGCTCTATAAATAATACCTTATTAGCCTTTTTCCTTAATAGGATAGAAAGACTAGTTAAGGTTATAGCCTATAGGCATGGTTCCGTAATTCTTTATCTAGAAGTTAGTCCTTTATTTTAGCTATTATTTCTATACGAGTATATATAGGCTTTAATTATATTAGTTTACTATAACTTTATATAGGACGAGCGGATACCTGCCTTAGTTATAGGTAGGTTCCTCTTTATTATTAGAGTATATTAATTATATGGCATTAAATAATAGTTATATTACTAGACTCTCTAGTTATTTTATAGTCTATTAGCCTTAATTTATCCTTAATTACGGGACCCCGTAGCTAATCTTAATCGCAAAATAGCCGGCTAAACTACCTTAGTATTATTATAATAAATATAATATATATTTCTTAGTTATTCTAGTTAGTTTCTTATAATCCCGCGGCTGCCTTATATTCTAAAAGCTATTTCTAAGAGATATTCCTTAGTAATATTAAAAATTATAGTAAGTATTAATCCTAGTTATAACTAAAAAGAAAATATTAGTTTATTTAGGTCTCTATTAATCCGGTTATATTAAAGTACTAGTACGCTAGCCAAGTTACTAGTTTCCTATTTCGCTTAGGCTATAATAGACCTAACCTACTTAGTTAATAGATAGAAGCTAATAATACTTGTATTCTCGAGGAAGACGAATAGATTTTAATATTAGAGTTTATAATATATAAACTAGGGTTAGTAGTATGGCCTGAATTATTATAAGTTAAAGGAATTACTCTTATAATAAACCTAAAGAGAATTAACTAGGATCTAAGCAGACCACGAGAGCTTATAGGCAAGAGTTATAATTAGTAAAGGATAATAGAGATTATATGGGACTTTAATACTATCTTTAATTAACTTTATTATATTTGGTTATAAATATACTACTTTTTTCTAAATAAAAAAGAAAGTTCTATAATATACTATATAATTCACGCCATTAATTACTCTCTTACTTAAACTCTTACTATAGACTCTATATATAAAGCAAGCTTTTTATCCTAGTAATTCTTTATACTTACTTTCGGAAAATATCTTTATAGCAGATATATTTCTAATAATATATCTAATAAGGATATTTACTACTCGCCCTCGTCTTAACCTATTTATCCCGTATTATTACTCTCTCCTTTCCGTTCTTGTCCTTAAAAATAAACTCGTCTGGGCGGGTGAAATAATATTCCCTAGTAACTTTAACCATAATATATTATATATTAGCCTATTAATAGCTTGGTATTAGAGCTAGGTTGCTTAGTACTAGGCTACTTAGTGCTAGTACTATATTAATTATTACTAGTGCTAGGTTACTTGGTGCTAATTCTGGGTTACTTGGTACTAGAGCTTAGTAGTAGCTTGAGGTTAGTGCTTCGTAACTGGATCCTGGAGCTTAGTGGCTTGGTTCGGGAGCGTAATAGTTTAAACTACCATATGCATGACTACTCAGGCCCGCAAGTAAAGGAGTTGGGTTAGAAGCAGTATCTGGACTAGGCTACTGAGGGACATATGATTTATAGTAGTCAAAATAGTCTTGAACCTTTAGTATATTAGTTAGGAGATAGAGAAAACGGGCTTGTGTTATTACCAAATTTCCGCATGGGAGTTCTTTGCTATAAAATACTACATAATATCTAATACTAACGGCTCCAAAAAGAGTTGTGCCGTCTGGGTTATTCGACTCAGACATGTGGTTATTAAGTAAATCGCGGGCAATAGTATTAAAGGCATCTATAGTAACCTTCTCTCGAGGGCGCTTGAGCTCAATCGTTAAGATATTAATAGTTGCCCATCCAGTATTAAATTGGAGCATTTTCATTACCTTATTATCCGGTTCGGTAGTGCCTTGTTTGTATTTAGTAAGATTTATCTAATAGTCCTTAGCAGGGAAAATAGTCCAGATCAGATTCTCCCAAAGGGCTTGAACTTCCTACTTCTTCGAGCCGCGCTTGATCTGTTCGCACAAAAGAGAAAGAGCAGGGTTCAATAAATAATTGTCCTCTATAGTTGACGTCATAAAGCTAGAAAGAGGAGTATTGAATAGAAGTTCGTGTTAATGAACTTGATGGTGGGGTAAATCTTGCCTTTATAGAGGTTGATGTAGGATGTAATACCAAGTTCACTGGCTTCCGGTCAATATCTTCCCGCTGCATTTGATAACGAATCGTGATACGAGCCGTTCCGAGCGCGAGAATATTTGGTTTTGTCTGCAGCCTGCATTAAAATAGGAAGTGACCTCTAACTACATAGCATTATGCGCTCTCCGAAGAAATGCCAAGCTTCCAGTTTTGGAATCTTCTACCGGGAATTGCTCTGGGGTTTGCTCCGGGGTTTGCTCCTGCCCCGAGGATTTCCCGGGGAGTCGCCTACGCCTCTAATTACTAAAATCAATTTTCACTATATAATAGCGTGAGATCAGAGAAACAAGCTTATATTCTCTGAGCGCTTTGAAAATCTCAAATTTTTGGTGTTCTTAGCTAGGGCCTGACGTTAAGTCACTATCTAAAAGGACAGCTGGCCCAACTCGTGATGCAGCACGCAGCTCTAAAGGGAGGGAGCATGATATTGGCCGGCTAATCAATGCCCGTAATGGAATTAATGCAATTAGTCAATTCTCCCACCATAGGCTTGGTATTATGCAGCCAGCCTCGCTCCAGATCAAACTACTGCTCACGGCGGAAGCCAGCGGATAAGGCCTCAATAAGGCCCGTGCCTTTCAAGTCCGCGTTCGCATCAGGTGTTCGTGCTTCTGACTTCAATCAATATGGAAATAATTACACCTTAATGGAATTGCCCTTACTATTTGCAAGGATTTGCCTCGAGAGATAGATTTCAGAGATACCTTAAACCAGACAGGGTTTGTGGGCAATCGTACCTATTCCTTCTATTACAACTAACTCTAGACAGCAACTTATTAGCCAGCTTCTCGACCAGCTTCAATAGGTACTCCGTCCAAGCTATTAATAATTGCAAGAAAACACCGAGAGTTTAATCGCTTCTAATAGAGAAAATAATGTCGATTCTACCTTTACATGCCCTGATTCTAGCTACTAATCGAAGCCGGCGTATACTAGAAAGAATAAACTGCTCCGCCACTTCAAATCGCGTATGTTCCTTTTAGGCAAGCCCTTAAACAAGGCGACTGACAGAATATATTAGATGTGGCTTGTAATATAATATGTAGTTGTAATTTGACTTTTAATCGTATTAATGAGTTTGACAAATATCTTAAAGAGTGCCCTATATGGAGATCCAAAGATACCCGGACATTGGGCGTGAAGCAGTAGCTGTATTTAGATACTACAGAGAAACTAGATATATAACTGAAGAAATAACTAGACAGGTTTATTAGGCCTTTTGGAAATATTGGATAGAATTCTGACCATGAAATAGAAGCAATGAAACACTTAGCATATTTAAGGATCTAAAGCGCAAAAGTATTGGGGAAATAGAAGGTATTCATTTATCCTCGCGTTTTTTATTATCTCATTAATAATAGCAAAAGCCAGTCTCTCAAGCAGAGGTGAAAAGCGACCCTGCCTAGCTCAAGAACAGTCAATGCAAGAAGGCAGTATTTCACCCCAAAGCCAATTTAACTCTATTTCACAATATAAGTTGAGGTCCTCCTATAGCCGACTAAACGTACTCTCTGATATATATATAGACTAATATACTGCCGGAAACAGAAATAATCCTAAAGTAATAATCTCCCACTTGGACTCTAATGAATTAACTAATAATATACTATTAACGGGAAGTACTAATAGCCTTAATCCCATAACTCCCGAGAGTAATAACATTAACCGTATATAACTACCTTGGACAGATATTACGGGAAATTAATCTCAATACCGAGATATGGCTAAGTGAAACGAGTTTAATACCTGTAACCTAATATTATAGGGCGGCTTTATACTAATGCCTAATACTAAGCACTATGACTCTAGGGTATTTAACTCGGAAAGTAGGGATTCTTGGAGCCTTTACTCGAATAATTAGAATTTTTTTAATACTAATTATATGTTTTCTAATAATTCGGCTTATAATAGCTAAAGCCCCTTAATCTAGAAGAATTAGAAATATTCTCGAGTAAGATCCTAAAATCTGTATTAGGTATATTCGGATATAATAGGAACAAATTTCAGACAAGACTATAATAAACTCTATTTAACCCGCTATAGATGCCACTAATACTATATATATCAAAATTCATTTATACTTCCATAGTAATTAAGTTCCCTATTACCTTCTCAGATCTCCTGGTAAAGTAAAAAGATTCCTAGCCTACTAATACCTTTAATAGCGGGATCTTCCCGCTCTATGCCTGTATTAAAGACTACTATAGAGCCTGTATCTAAGGAACTTGCATTAAAGAATACAGAGCCTGCGTTAGGGGAGCTTATAGACGGCGGGTCTAGATTACTCATGCCAAGTTCGTTCGACTTATAAGAGCCCTTGTAAATGAGAGGAAGTTCAGGCCCTTTCTTTATTATAATCGCTACTATATGTTTCCCTGTACCATTTTTAATCTTGCGTATACCAGAGGGTATTAGAAATTCGTAGAAATAGATAAATCGGCAGTTCAAGCATGTTTTGGCTTGCAAGGTCGCGATATTTGGTTTGAATCTCTATACTCTATCAGAATAATATATATATCTTTGGCCTCTAGAACTTACGATTTCGAAATCATTAATAATAGCATCGCAGTCACTATTTCACTCGAGCGCAGTTTGCCGGATTCCCCGTAACAGAATGCCTGGCTTTGCTAGTGCGAGGATTTCGATTAACGTTGAGTCAATCTCTCCTACCATAGTAATACCAGAATCGGAGAGTTCTTTGTTAATAGTCAGCCAACTACTGGACATGATGCGTAAATGCTATAAGGGGCTATAGCCATTGGCAGGTTAATGGTGGGCAGGCTGCGTTTGAAGGGAGTGCTTCTCTCCACCGAAAAACTGTCATCGCGATAACGCCGGGCGTTTCGCTTATTAAAGGTCACATGACCATAATGCCCCGTACTGCCCCGCACTGCTTTTTGGGATGACATTGTGCACGAGATTTTCAGTATCAGGAGCCTTTTTTATTCAAGAAATCTGTCAAAATTCTTGTAAGCTTTCTCCTGAAGTCTCTCGGAAAGGCATTAATTCTTTTAAGTAATCTTTGGTCCTATAGCTACGGTGACCCAATTCGCAGAAGGGCTTCCAAGACAGCATAAATATAAAAACAATTAATATTTATAAACTTTTCCGTTCCCTTATTGAAAATTATAATGCCTTAAATCCTTTATTTTTGATCTCGGTAGCTGTAAAAAGAAAATGGCACTATTCTAATACGGAATAAGAAAGTGACGCAATAAAGCTTAGTTTGTATTGGGCCCATATAGTAAGGTAAGTATCTCACTCTTATTACTAGTCTTAATTTCGTCCACAGTCTGCTTTGGCTATTGCCTTACTAGTAGTGGAAAAGGCTTTGCTCTACTAATACCCAAGTCTCTGCCTGTCTAGCTATGGTTCCAGAATATAATACCTGCCCATAGCTTGAGGATTGAATAGTAGTAAGCAAAAAGAAGATAGGCCGGGATTAGAAAGAAGAACAGGAAGAAATCCGTAGGGTAACGCCAAAAATACGGTATTAGTTTGACTAGCTTAGTGAGATAGATCCAACCTCTAAAGCATAATAGAAGCAGTATCCGGTTTCTTGATTCCGAATAGAAGTTGGTCTTGGTAAGAGTATAGAGTATCCCTCTATCCCAGAAAAGTGCTAAGTTAAACAAGCTTGGGATATAGGTTATCCATATGGTCCACGGAGTGCGCCGCTATACCGTATAATCAGTAAACAGAGAGCAGAAGTTCGACCGGAAAGTTGTACGTAACTAATGAAAAAGCTGTACTAGGAACTTTGGATACTGGCCGAGTATCGTCTCTACCGTGGCACTATTAGTATATTGGATCTTTATCTCATAGTTCTGTGGATGGCGTAAAACTTATCGTGTAATAAAGTTATCGTCGTCGGGGTTAAGTGGACCGAATAAGCCAAAGAAGAAATGTTCGTTAGTAAATGCTTTATGGAAGTTATTATCTTGGATAATCTCAGATAGAATAACCATTACTTGTCCTGAGATAATAAAGACTCCTCTATCTCTGGCATTAGTGGCTCGGATCTCGAAGTTATGTCGTTCCAGATAGAGTACTCCCATAATATTCTAGAATAACTCCTAATATCTTCCCCAGAGCGAGTAAGCCTTGGGGTTCTTATGACGAATAGCCTTCTTTGTCCCGTATAAGCTAACGCATGGATTTTCGAAAACAGGTATGATAGAGTCTAAGAATAAACGTGGCAGAAACATATAATTATTAAGGAACATGACTAGGCGAGTCTGGATATGTTAGATAGCATATGTTATTTGGCGGCGTTTATTAGCGATACTAACGTATATGACTCGAATATCGACTCCGGAAATGTTAGTTAGACCAAGTTCACTTAAAAAGCTAGACGAGCCTCTTTGGATCTTGTTACGGATACTAAATAACTGTTTATTGACTTCTGTAGCTTTGAAATCCGTATTAGTAATAATAATAAGCCTCGCGAGTTTATTAACTAGACAGGTCGTAAGACATTCTTTAAAGTCAGGATTATCTGACTCTGAGACTGAGATAGTAGGTAGAATTATTATTACATCTTTCGGGCCTATAGTTCTAATCGTAGGAAGACTTGCTGGTTTGTATCGCCAGAAGGAGTAGAGGTTAACGAAGAGTCGAAAGTAGCGCCATGTAGCCAGTGTAATGAACCAGATCAGAGCGGGGTCGTTAATACTCTTAGAGAGCTTGCTGATCCCAAATGAAAGTAAAAATGGAATAGCATGCGGTATGGGACTGTAATAATATTAGTACTGTTCAAACAAGAATGGGTTGGCACTTATAACTAGATGATGGCGATAATAGTGATAGTATACCAAAATAGTTCCCATATAAGACGAAAAGCATAGCTCGTTATCCAGAAGAAGACGACTAGGGCTATGACGGGTAACAGGACTCTCATTTGAAGGATTCTCCTTTGAAGGGTCCTCAATATCTTGCCAAGTACTCAGGATGTTTTTGGACTAGAAATGAAAAGTATGCGAATAGTTGGATCTATAATTAAACTGTTGGGATTAATGACGCGCGCAGCGAACCTCCCCTTCCGACTCTGAATATCAATTCTCCATTGTTACGTACCATCTCACCCCCTATTGTATGCATGATGATTGGAAAAGCCATCATAACCATAAGCCAATAGGTAATTTTTTTACCTAAGCTCATCCCCGCAGATGACGAGTGCACAATGATACGAAGATTGGTGATGCACAATTGTGCGCATTGCATTGAGACAATGAGATAGCTCACTGGTAGCTGACCTATTTTGGACGCCTCAACTCATTGCCAATGGATAGCTGGGGATCAGGCTAGGAGCAACCCCAGGAGCAAACCCCGGGGCAATCCCCAAGTGGCTCAGGAGGAAACCCCAGGAGCAACCCCAGGAGCAAACCCCGGGGCAATCCCCAATTGTCTCAGGAGGAAACCCCAGGAGCAACCCCAGGAGCTAACCCCGGGGCAATCCCCAAGTGGCTCAGGAGGAATACCCAGTTTCGCGGAAAGCTTGTCTTGGACTCAGCTCTGCTGGGGAAAACACTGTGGAATAGCCAATTGGACTTGGAGCCACCGGCCATTCGACTCTCGCCTGTGCTCCTCTGAGGGGTGTGCTCAGTTTTAATATGTGCATGCGAGAGGCACTTGTCAGAGAACACGCTGACTGAGCAGAGAATGCAGCTACAGGCAAATCTCTTTTCTACATTGTTAAACGGTACCTGTACCGTTTTGTTGCATCCATCCCCTAGTCTCTTGGATTTCTTGGCTTTTGAAAATGAATTGCAACGGATGCTCTCCCAACGTGGTCATTCGACATTCATTTGAAGCAAATAGTGAAACTTGAACTCTTCGAGGCTGTAGAGTTAGAAGCCTTAAATAAAATCACTTGATTGTTGTCGCGCAACATGCTCAAAATGACTCTTTGACCTGTGGAAAGCTGGTACAAACATTGGCTTGGGAAGGCCATAGTTCGCGCAAGGGCCTCGAGACGGAAGGCACTGTCGGAAGATCTGCCATTGGGGCAGAGAAACTGCAAACGGCGCCATGGGTCCCTGGTATCAGGGTAGAAAGGGAAGGACAGTAAGAGGAAACTCGCCGGTGGGGACGAAATGAAAAGCTATGTCACGGCCCTGGTCGGCGACTTGGAAAGCAAGATGCCCGTGATACTCTACTCAGATTGACTTTGGATACTTTCGTTGCTAAAGGGAGCTTGGGTGGTTGTCATTGTAAATTTGTAGGAAGCTTCGTGATTCAAAGGAGGATTCGTAACCTGAAAGCGCCGTGTCGCTCCTTGTGCTCCTTGTACGGGCCATTCCCATTCATACTGCAAGTTCTCCTTCATTGTGCTCGTCACCTTCTCAACCTCTTTGTCCGTGAAATCGTCCTCCACCCTACCCCCATCCCATCGCTTGCGTGTCCTTCATGATTGGTATGTATCGCGTTGTTTGAGGCAGGAGTCTTGCAGAAGCAATTTATGATTGCTCGGCGAAGATGAAGCTGAAGGAAAGCTCTGCGAAGGTTTTGCGCATCGGTATCGAAAGAGAGTACTGTAGGATCGCGAGGTTAGCTTTCTGTCAATCCTGCTCCTATTTTGCCTTCAGATCGCTCACCGCCTCGTCCCGAATTTTCCATCGCAGTTCGCCTTTGCCAGTTCTACGCCTTTGTCCAGCAAGACTTGTTCGGCCTGCTAAAACCTTTCTCTGGTGTATTGAGGTATGGGTTCGCACAACCTGGTGACTCGGCGGTGAAAAATTGTCGGCTATGAACGGCATCGATGCCACGATAAGAACTTTAGCCTCATCGCCGCAAGGCCATGACGTGGGGCCTCTGCGCTCCAGAACAACATCATCGAAGTCGATCGCATTTAACTACCGCGAAGGGTTAGACCAGGGAACATCGAAGACGGTATCGTTCCCACAAGCTATCACGGCGGCGTCAACCGGAGGGTGCTGAGAGATGATTGATCTGTCTCAATTCGCAGATAATAAGGAGGGGGTTCAAACTGAGGTGGAAAGAAGAGTACAATGAATATGTGCAATATATGAACATAGCTAATCTCCTTTCTAGCTTGGCAGAACTGTGACAATCGGTCCTGAACAGTCCGGGGATGGTTTTGCAAAGGATGCAAAGACCTATGGAGAGTCATTCTCCGCAGTCATACTCAGGAGCCACGGTAGCGGCAAGGGAAGCGTGCGGGTCACTGGAGGAGGCCTCGAGGTAGACGGTGCCACCGTAGGACCTGGCTCTGCTGGCCCCTTCCTGGTTGAAGTTGCATCCGGTCAGAATTGCTCAGTGGCAGGTTATTATACAATCCAGCTTGTACAATAAGTGGAATCAAATTCGCAGAAAAGAGAGCAATTCCCCAGCCATTTCCGGAGAGACCTGAATCAACGGAGGTAATTTCCACGCAACTGGAAATAATATATAGAAAACAGCGTCTCCTTTAGAATCAAGAAAGGTAGAGAGCCTTTCTTTTGTCATAGGTACATAGTTGGCGTCTAGAATCTTGAGGATATCACCGGGTGGTGGTTTGTGCAGTAATTCAATCGGTGGTAGTGGATGTGGTGAAGGTTGATTTGGTGGATGTAGTGATGGTGCGTCGGTTGATGTCGGCTTTTCGAGAGACTGCCCCTCTCCTGCTCTTCTCGTCAGCGACTACTTGAGTATTTCCATTACATGGTTTGTCCTTACTGTATAACAGATCTCCACTGACGGACGGTATCATAGAAACATCATTCAGAACGGTCGATGGTTGTGCACCATCTTGAGTTGACTGGTTGTTCAATGGCGTCTTTGTTCGTCTACGCTTTCGCGATGCTGAATGCTTGGGAACGGCAGCTGTCGTAGTGTTAGTAAATATACTAAACAGCATGTGTAGGGGTGGGTCACCTTGACAACGACGAACTTCACGTTCAAATTCGAGGTGACGGTCCTCAGAGCCTCTCTGAAGTTCACGACGCGCACGATTAACAAGTGACTCGCTGAGCTTCGAGCGCTTGTTGGCGTAAATGGCAAAGTCGGTGAGGTATTTCTCCCCCGCTTCCAAGTGTTTCTTGGTTAGGGAATAGATGACCTCCAAAAAGGCTGGAAGAGAGAGGCTCGAGAGGAACACTTGAGATGATTCTGCATCTTCTCCATATCGGGTTAAAAGAAGGCTGTTGAAATCCTGGGAGCAAGCTTTTGGTGGATTATCAAATTTGTGGTACAGGATAGCCCGGTGTTTGGCTTGTATGGCTGCGGTGTGGGCTGTCTTCAACTGGACGACAAGCTTGTCTAATGCAGAATATGAGAGGTAGAGGAAGTCTGCTGTAGTGATGTCAATTCCACCAGCAGTAATGAGCTGAGGATCCATTGACAGGCTCGAGTTTGACCACCTCAGGAAGGCGTTCCCTGGCGTCCCTTGGGATGAGTTCAGAGGGGCGTCCCTTGGGGATGGTTTCGAGGGGGCGCCCTTTGGGATGGTTTCGAGGGCGCGTCCCTTGGGATGGTTTCGAGGGGGCGCTAGTTCTCCTTCCCCGATTGGTCTAACAATTAATGAGAGTCCGGTGACTTTGGCCCTGCTAAAATCACACCGTAGCTTCGGCTAGTCGCCTTACGGCTCACGGAAAGGAATTTTGGTAGTTAAGACACTTCATTCAGCCCCTTTTGTGCAGGCTGGCTGCTTGTTTTGTTATCCCCAGAAAGTTGCTGAAAACATCGCGATACCGCGGCCTTGCGTTCAACCAGTTGACCCTTGCCGATCATCCCTTCGCTCCGCTCTCGTGATTCGACGATAGCCTTTCCGAGATACTAATGATTCAAGCATAAAAGGACGCGTCCGCAGAGGAGAGCCGCAGCTACCGGCTCACCTCTCAGCTGGTCCTGGGTTCGCCTTGCTTCTTTGCGGTTTCCTTTTCTAGCGAGACATCTAAGGCTCTGGGGTTGGAATTGCGATATTCAACAAAACATTTTGCACACCAAAGGATTGGATGCGTGGCTGCTCTGTACATGTCGTCATACAGACAGACAATTTTGGGCAAGGTGCGAAGCCTGGACAAAACATGATTGTACGAGTGACAGCAATGTCTGCTGTAACGCCCGCGGAGAATATACAAAGTTGAATCTAGCCGCCTAACCATACAATAAACATCTCTTCTCCAGTTCTGCTTGCCACTTTGACCATATTCTTATATACCATGTAACCTGCCCCTACCTATTCTTGGAAGGGCTTCTGTCCATGTACAAAATAGCTATGATGTGTGAGCATAATTTGACAAATCGGGATGACTGGCCTACAAATCTTGAGAGATAGATGACTTGGGATTCATGATTTCAGCTTGTATGCTCGCAACGAGCACCTCGATTTCTTCGGATATCCACTGTAATGCGTTAATACTGGGAAATTATTGCGTACACCAAGAGGAACATACGTCCAATACCTTTGCAAGACGTCGTGCAGAGAAATCGAAAACTCCCGCATGCAATCTCTTTTAATTGAATATGCCAAGTTTAGTCTTACCGCTAACTGGGATGGTTTCTATTCTCTGTTTCACACCAACAAAGCCGGCCTTCTTTAACCATCCCTTAAGCCTCGAGCTTATATTAAAACTCATGCCACTTTTGTCGCCAGTATTAATAAACGTTTTTATCCACTGGGGATAAGGATGATTTTGTTGCAGGGTATTAATCGGTTTTAGATGAATACTTGGTTCGACAAGATTCAAGTATTCACCTGGCTGGAGCGCCCTAGTGAAGAGTCAGTATGAATGGATTGAGTAAGATAAATTGTTACCTGTAGTATTTTTCAATTAATCGAGGCCAGTCTTTGACACTACCGAGAAGTTCACGCGCATGAATTAGATCGTACTATTAGTATTCTTCGTAACTCCGCGCATTGAAGTCATTAATTAGAAATTTCATATTCGGAGGCACAGAAATTGGTTGCATCTTGGAGATATCAATTCCTGTAACATGCGATAATAGATATTTATCGGCAATATCTCTGAGATGGAACAGTTCAGTATTACGGGATGATATAGGGAAGAGAAGTTGAAACATACATGGCCCAAATCCCCGTACCAGTACCCAGATCGAGGATGCGCTATATTTTGTGTAAGTGCTCTAATGTTCTCTATTTGTAAAGCGACTTACTTGGGGATTCAAGACAGGGGCAGTAAGTAATTCGCCGTCGAGTGCCAGTATCCAAACGTGATGGCTATTATATTGCTATTAAAGATAGATTTAATCTGAGGTAGGAATAACAAACCTCAGATCCTGTTAATCCTGAGCATATTCATCGCAGGGGCCCCAGTATTTAGTACAGCCTACAAACATCAGCTTAATTGAAAAGAGCTAAAGAGATAAAATACCGTAAGTATGGTATGTTCTACTATTTTCTTCGCAAATGAGATCTTCTGGCTTAATGGTTCCAGTTTCGCTGGCATCGCTGCCGCACGTGGAATCGCCTTCGTCACTACTGTCTTCTTCACTCCATGGTTCGTAGCCGCTGTCTGCTGCGTCACTGTCGTAGCTGTGGTTTGAGCCCTGCTGGATAGGTGGGAAAACCACTGCAAGATAGGAGTTTTCGGAAGCAGCCACTCTGTCGCCTGTAGAATTGGTAACTACTATCTCCTCCACGACCATCATCCGGATTTCACCATCGTTGGCATTCACATCGAATGCACCCAGGGACGTGATTGTCGTGGTGGAGCACGAAATCTCGTCGGGAAAGCCGTCAGATACCATCGTCTCGATGGGATGGAAGGTAATTCCAGACAGTCATCCAAGAAGCGATGTGAGTGTTCGATACCTCAAGGTAGGTAGCTGGGAGTATGCACCAAGGAAGTTATGGCTGCGGCAGCAAGGGGAATGTTGGCGGGTCACTACCCGCGATACCCCGTCAAGGTAGAAGCCGCACAGACTCAAAAACGGCGATCAGGACGTGAGCGTCTCCACCCCATCGTGCTTTTTGATGTCGAGGCGCTGACGAGCCATCAGCTCCCCCAATCCGAGGAGGGCTCCAGCACAGGATCAATTAAAGGCTAGGTTAGGACATGCAGCGATACGACCCAGAAAACAGGGGCTCCCAATATTCGACCATCGATGTGGCGTGCGTATTTGGATCTGGTTGCCTCGCTCCAGGAAAGCTGAGAATTGCTAGGCATTGTTTCCTTCAAACAGACGGCAGCGTAAGCACAGCCGAGGATATCACCTACCATGAAAACGGCCTAGTCGGCGTGCTGCATGGTAGACGGGACCCTTGTAGCTAAAAGTAGCAAAGAAATGGCGGGATATATGGGAAACGGGTGGTGAATGGGTGGTGAATATGGCGTGAAAAATGTATGGGAACGCAGCCAAATCATCGGCAAAGGGTGGTGGAAGGGTGGTGAAAGTATTCGGGTCCGTGCGGGGGCATCGAATTGGCAGGGCCGATCTTCCTCAAAGAACGCCCCAAAACCCGCGGAGTGGTTCGCATGGAATTAGCGAGCGTGGGGTTTGAGACAATCAGCGATGCAGCCAATAACTCAATTCCCAATAGTCCGGTGCCGTGTGGAATGACAGCGACGCATGCATTCCCCTTGTCAAGGAAGCGGAACGTTCCCCGGAAGACACCAGCTGGGGGTCCAAAGCTATTCGATTAAGAAGTCTCCACTCGCCTCCCTAGTGGGGAGCGTAACCCGATTCGGGGTTTTCAGCCAGGTAATGAAAACGTGAACGAGTAGCGTTCAGGAGCTTAGCCAGCTCACGCTCTCCGGTGGATGCTATCCTTTAATAGTAAGCTCAAAACTTTTTACGAATGAATTGAAGTTGAATCATGGCCGGAAGGTTTGTCCCAGTCATTGTTATATTCTTCCGAGCCAGAGCTTCAAAATTCCATCTCCGTGGCATCCCAACCTTTAAAGAAAATGGCCAGTGTCAACTCCAGTCTGGGACAACAACTGGTGTCACGGCAGGTGAAATCAAGAGTTCGATCTGGCTGTGTAACGTGTAAGTCTCATTATTAACTCTCGGGATGCATGACCAGAACTAACCACCTATCTAGGCAAGTGCGTCTTCGAAGGGCTAGCTCTCCTCTTGCCCTTTCTTATTGACAATTTGTCGCAGGATTCGACACGTAAAATGCGATGAGAAGAAGCCTATTTGCGGTTCGAGCTCCTTGATTCTTGTCCCCTCATTTCAACACGCCAGTACCCTCCCTCAAGGCACCCCGAGCTGATTATCCAACCTTGCAGATAGGTGTGCGAATACCGGCTATGAGTGTAATGGATACTGCTATAACGCTTTGGCACGGAGACCTCCATCAAATCCTTTTTCGACTCGTAGCACCGACGAGAACTCACGAGTCGCCATACCAAGAGTCAGCTCCACTCCCTGCCAACTCATTGTTCAACCATCCGCAGGCCCTAAACTCAAGAACACGATTGAGCATCAATACTTTACGGTCTTCCGAGAGAGCATAGCTGATCAGCTTTCGGGATACTACGACACTGCTATCTGGAACTGCGTTGTGCTCCAGGCTTGCCACGACGAATCATGGGCCAGGAACTTAGTTGTTGCTATCGGAGCTCTCTACAAATCTCTTGGAAGGGAGGAGAGTGTGAGAGAAAGAAAACGCCACTACCTCTTCGCTCTGCAAACATATGGGGAAGCCTTAGTGCAATTAAAAGACTACACCAGAGAATGTAAATCAGACTCTGATCTTCGATGCGCCTTGATATCATCACTTCTTACTACGTGTTTCGAGACTTACATCGGCAACAAAGACAACGCAATCACGCAAGCCAAAGTTGGCATAGACATTCTACTCGAATGGACAGCAAAACAACAGAAAGAACCAGCAGACGACATGCCGGATGAGTGGTCCAACATAAGACGTGTTGCGACTCAGTTTTACATCCATAACGACCTCTTGGACGTCTTCCAACGCCTAGATTACCAACTCCTTCTCGTCAGAGGCCTTCAACCTGGGCGAAAATCCCCAGGAGCATTCCCCAGCATCGACCGCCCCTTTATATCTCTCGATGAAGCCTGCACATTCTGGGATCTGGTTATGCGGCGGATCTTGTTCTTTCACTCCGTCAAAGACGTCAGAGAACAACACTCTCTGCAAGGATACGACAAAGACAACGCCCAAGCCGAGGAATGCAACTTCAAGAATGCGATACAGCAGTTCTTCCGCTCATTCACGCCTATTTTCGAAAGCTCTAGACGAAGGCCGGGAACGAAGGAATACTTCCTGTCCAATCTCGTCATGATCAGATCCCTAGCTTGCCGCTTCGCAGTCTTGCGATTTCCATCATACAGTGAGCTATACAGCGATTATTTCTTGCGAGACTATAAGCTGCTTATTAGGCTAGCGCGCGAGCTAATCGATGATTCAAAAATGACCCAAAGGGAGGCGATTTGCAATTTCGACATAACTCTTGGTATTTCTATCTTCAGCCTCTTGCACCTTTGTAGAGTGTCCGCAGTACGCAAGGAAGCCCTTGACTTGTTACGCCAATACCCGCAGAGAGAAGGATGGTTCGATGCACTGGTATCTGCGAAGATCTCGACGTGGCTGATGAACGAGGAAGAAGGGGGGACAGTCCATGGGCACATACCTGACACTGCCAGATTGAGACTCATCAAGCATGAGCTTGGACCGCACAAACGAACAGCTAAGCTTCATTGCTCACGATTCGTACGGAAAGATGGAAACGCGACAAGGGAATTACTCCCTCCTATTACGATAAACCTCTGATTCGAGAGGGCGGGTAACACAGAACGCGCGAAGGAGGATCGTTTGGGGCTATTATAGTAGAATGCAGTCATTTCAACCCGAAAAGTACTTGCTCTATATGCAACTGCCTTCAATATTCATAAACCATCACACCAAATAACACCAAACCCCAGAAGCAAATCATAGTCCTCATTCCTCTTTCCTTTCCCTTTGGAATGCCTCCAAAATCGTAGCCTTGTGCTCCGGTCCAGTAATCTCGAGAGACCCAACCATCTCCTTCGTAACCCACAAATAATCTTGATGCTCCTCCGGATTCAGGGTCACACCTTCCGTGCTTTTAACTTCCACCTCAAAGCTGAGCTTGCATGTTGAACCATCCGTCACCACTTCCCCGCCAACTAGACGCTTAAAATGAACAACAATTAAGCCAGTCTCTTCGAATGTCTCGCGTGCAGCGCAGTGGAGGATAGTCTCGCCTTCTTCGCCAACTCCGCCAGGGATCTCCCAGCGGTTTGGCGAGGTGTCATTCGATGCTCGTTTTATGAGAAGGAGCTCGTCTTTCTTGTTGAAGTTTAGAGTGCCTGCTGCGACGTTGTCGAACTTAGGGCGCTGGGAGAGGAAGACCTTAGGGGTGATGTCGAATGGTCTTAGGGATTTGTCGTAGGTGAAAGAGAAGGAGGGTGAAAGTGCCATTCTGTCTTGGAGGAGCGCGATCTGTGGAGACTGGAGCTGGAGCTGGGAGGAGTGGGTGTTGTATTTGGATACTGGGGATGAGGACGATGGTTCTCTCGAGAATTAGGTGTCAACGTTGATGGTGGAAGTGCTGTCTGATAAGCTCGAACATTTTCCTGCCAACACTTGAATTATATTCAACCCTCGGCCCCAATGGCGGATCTTTCCGGAAAGTGGGCTGCACCACTGCAGAGCTAAGGTCCTAAACACTTCCAAAATCTTGGGGATTGCCTCCTCTACTTGGGGAGAGATCGCTGCACTGTGGGTACTTTTCAGAGGGATCATCTGTTTCGATTTACTTTTGCTTGTCATTGCATGACAAGGCGCTCACCGAGAGAGCTTACTGGGCATGAAAAAGGTGCATATAGGTGCATACGAAGTGGATGCATATGGATGTGAATGCAGTAAGGGTTGTCACGAGTGCATGCATACGCCCGGGGCTTGAGTCAAGGTGATTTTTCCATACTCGGATAGCTCCTGCATATGCAATCTGTGAAGCCACCAGAATTCCTGCACTTTCTGCTTAGCTAATGGTGGGCAAGCTCAGGCATGAGAATGAGGCTCAAAAGAACAACGCATAAGAACAGCTGGGGCCACCGTGGACTGCAAAAGCATCTGCTTCGATCATTGCTCCGCTACTCAGGTCATTGGAATGCCACTATTTTGTGAGAGTTTTCTTTAAGAATCCGCATTATTGAAACACATATTGACCTTCTCTAGATTGACAGTCACTTGCACTTGATCTTGCACAAGAATCATGGGGCAGAAAATGGTTGTCAATAGCCTTCTGGAGTCTGCATTTTACAATGCGGGGAATATTTCGTCCAGTGATCCTGCCCCAGGACTGTCTCTAAGAACGCTTCTGGAGACCTTCGTCCCAGGATATGGTCCCATATACAAGTTCGTACTCTTCGCTTTCGGCTTTGATGTTACTGTCTTCGTCTCCCTGGGTGCTATCCTCTGGTTCGGTGCTGGATTCTTCCGCTCAGTATGGGCTGCAGTCGGTGACCTAGTCTACAATAACTGCATGTCCGAAATCACGATTGATAGAGTAGATGACATATACGACTATGTAATGGTTTTCCTCGGGCATTAATACAAATTCAAGTCGTCTCGCAGACTTGTAGCAGAGACTCTTTCGAAAACCGTATGGGAACTGGATAGCGAGGACATAGAAACAAAAGAGTCGAGAGGAGAAGGCAAGAAGTTGCAAAATTTCGCTAACCAAGAAGCAAAATCGGAACCTAGATTTACTCCCGCTATTGGATCTCACAGTTTTTGGCACAAACGGAGATATTGCCAGTTGAGGAGGAAGGAGGTAGCTTTATATGACACGCTTACTGTCAAGGACAAGGAGGTCCTCACTCTTTCTTGTTTCGGACGATCCGCAGAACCGATTAAGGAACTGATCCAGGACGCTAAAGAATACTACTATCGAAGACAAAACGTAATGACTGTAGTCAGGCGCCCTGCGCCCAAGGATATGCGAAAAAACGGTAGATGGGTCAAGATAACAAAGCGTACATGTCGTCCCATGAAAACGGTAGTGCTAGATAAAGAGAAGAAAGATGATATCATTAACGACATTAACGAATATCTCACCCCTACTACTGCACGCTGGTACGCCAACCGGGGAATTCCATACCGTCGTGGGTACATGTTCTACGGACCTCCTGGAACAGGGAAAACATTACTCACCTTTGCGTTAGCAGGCCTTTTCGGCCTTGATCTCTATGTTGTTAGTCTACAAGACCCTACACTGACGGAAGAAGAGCTGAGCATACTGTTCGCGAATTTGCCAGCTAGGTGTATTATTCTACTTGAGGATATCGATACGGCGGGCTTAATCAGAAGCCAAGTGAGAATAACGAGAAGACAGCACCGGCAGACCAATCGGGAAATAACGACTTCAACGTTTCAGATCTCACCAAAGCACTCAAGAAGGCCAACCAACTCTCAGAAGAAGAGAAGAAGAAGGGCATTTCCTTGTCTGGACTCCTGAATATCATTGATGGTAAAGCTTCTCCCATTTCTCTCCCAACTATTTTATTTTAAAACTCCAAATGGACAAAACACTGAAAACAACTAGGAGTCGCATCTCACGAAGGCCACGTCCTAATAATGACAACCAACCACCTAGAGAAACTCGACGACGCACTGATTCGCCCAGGCCGCGTAGACAAGCAGGTCGAATTTAAGAACACCACCGAGAAAGAAACTAAAGAAATGTTTGAGAGAATGTATACCAAGGATTTGCCGTATACTAGCTCTAACACGAAGGGAAAGGATCGACCCATTTTTCTTGACTTGCTTCATGCCCTCCACCCAGGCGTCTACCTCATCTAGCGCCTTCTTCGGATCATTCTTCCGCTTTAACAAAAACCCCTGTATCTCGGCCTGAGAGAATACACCATCTGGAACTTTCTTTGCGAATTTTTGTGCGGTCTGACCTAACTCGTCACTCGACATCTCCTTTGGCTTTTCCTCTTCGCTATGCTCAATACTGCTCAGAGATGCTCCGGTGACGGGGGTGCCATTTGCAGTTTCGTTTGCAGAAATTGCTTGTTGGCTTACGATTGAGGCATTGACTTGCGGATTGTTGTGATGGCTTCTCCAACTCGTCATGCATACAATGCGGGATGAGATGCTCCGTAACAACCGAGAATTGATATTTAGAGTGGAAGACAAGGATGGGTTGGGGAGTACTCCAAGTACAGTAGAGGAAGAGAGGTGAGAGGAGGAAGGCAAGAGAGGAGGAAGGAAGGAAGGAATGTTGAATTTCAGTTATTAATGATATTTGGTTTATGAGAGATATGTAATGCCGATCCTACCAGTTGGATAAGTGCTGAAGATGGTGATAGCCTCTTGGACGGCCCTTGCTGCATCCTGATATAAATATTGCCTGAGGACAGCATTAATCGCGGATACCTACTGGCTTTATTTCTGAGGTCAACTGAACTACACCACGGACCAATCATCAGCGAGGCAAGGCAACCGCGAGGCGCCCTATCTTTTCAAGGATGTCCACCTTTGTTGTAAGTCGCAGGTCTCGCTTCACAGCCCCTTTCTGCTTCCACGATGAGGTGCCGTTCTTTCGAACAGCTATCGGTGTCTCCTCACGCGGGATGCTATTACTCCTGCTCTGGAAACAAATAGCCGAGCAAGCTTCCAGCCCTTCCCCTGGCATCTGCACATAAAGCAAATTATCGGGGATGACTTGCATCAACAACGGAATCTCAATTCTACAAAGAGATCTCCTTCAAATTCACAATGCCACATAGCCCCGATTTGATGAATTTCCCACGGATTTACAACATATGAATGGGAACACTAAGCTGTACTCGAGGCCCTTGGACGATGGCCGGCTTGCTCGGACGATTCATGAGCTTAATCGACTTAGCGAGCTGAGCACCGCAAATGTATATTCTCGTAATACTGCCTACACAAAAGTACAAAGCTGCGATGTGCAACAGCCCTAAATATACTTGCTTCTTCAACTTCCAACCAATCCGCCTGTACCCCCGCCAGTAGCTTGGCCGGGGCTGGGGCTAGTACACTTTCAGTCAACGTATAAAGGGAAGTTTTCTCATGAAACTCCAAAATGCCCTCAAAGGAGAAGATCCCAACTCAACCAAATAAGGCACATCCTCTCCAATATATATACGCTGAACTGAGCAAGTCTCCTCCATTTCCCACGAATGCCAAAAAGAGGGGTAGCTACGACAGGATGCAGGAAGAAGCAAGGAAAACCCAATAAACAACACCAATTGGACTTGGGCCCACCAGCCATTGTACGGCACATCACACGGTGTTCATTCCAGCCACATCTCATTGCGATGTGCAACAAAAGATGAGCTTAATTGTGGAGCTATCAGGTGACGAAATCACATGACATAACGGGGACGAGCAGGGTTGCAAGAAACAAATCTTTCCTATTCCTATGTTTGAATATTCTATTGATAGCGTGCTAATCAAGAGAATTAATATTAATGATTAACTCTCTGCTCATGTACGCTCACTACCTTTAGAAGTGGCAGGATGTCCGAATTACGATTCTTCGGGTTGCGAGTAGTTCGAATAACTAGTTCTAGTAATATAGCCAGGCTATTTTGTCTTATAGCTAGTATTTTCCTCCGAAATAGGAAAGGTAGTATTAGTAAACATGCGTAAATAATACTAATATAAACCTTAATAGTGCTCTAATACCCTATAGGAACGTAGTTCTCTGCTTCCGGTAATTAGTCTTTATATATTAATAGTATAATAGAGACTCATATAATATGTTCTGAGTATTTGCAAACTTAATAAGTAACATAAGCCATAGTATGCTAATAATAGTAACTCTAATAGTCCCTAGATTAGGTATAGGCCTTATAACTTTGCTTCTTAAACTTATAAAAATCCGAGGCCAAATATTACTAAGATATGAATTCTTTATTTCCATAATATTACGAGCCTAGTTAACTCTAGTAATAGAAGAATAATAGTAATAGTATCTAAAATAATATTAATAGCGGTGCTTATTTACCTAACTATATTTATATTAATATACTTAGCTAGACCCGTACTATCCTATCTTGTCTAAGTAATATAGACCGGAATATATTAAAATAATAAAGTAAGTATAAAAGCCGTACTATAGAGAATATCTACTACTATAATAGCGTATATTATTCTTTTAAATATTCTCTGGGGGAATATTCGAAGATAGAGGCATAGTATTAAGACCCGTATTATTATTAGACTTTTAAGATATAGTACCTTATTAAAGTAGTATATTTATATGCTTTTAGGAAAATTATATTACTAATTTAGTTATTAATTTATATAAAGAATATATATAATATTTTTGAATAGTATAGACTAAATGTTTTTCCCAAGCCCATAACCCGTAATTAGGTAGTATATTAGTAATTATGAACTTGCAGAAAGATAAATTTCGATATATGAATAATGGCTATTATAGAGAGCGGGATTATGAATCCCTATATTATAGTAAGCTATTTGGTTATTTCTCTTTAATTACTAGTATATTATTATAATAATAATAGTCTAGTTATCTATTCCGGGTTACTTACTCTTTATTCTTAATAGTAGTTATAGAAATAGAGCTAGTATAGCAAGAATAAGCCTAATAATTACCGTAATTAAAACTATATTAGTTCTATTTCGTAGTAGCTAGTAGCAGAATTTCCCGGTAATATTTTTGGTTACTATTAATCTTAGAAATTTTCCAAAAGTATTTATATAGAAGTATACTTAGGGACTCCCTGACTATATAGGTTATACTCATGTATAGTTTAAGACTATAACCTAGAGTTTGATTTATATAGACCGTTTTTGTTATAGGCATAAAATTTAAGTTAGTTATATATTAAACCTATTTACTTAGTATTTTAAAAATAATGGATTATGGGGCTAGATTATAGTATATGCAGGCAGAACTTTGCTTATAGAGTTTAACTATATAAGGGCAAGGGTGGCCATTAAAGTTATACAAGTCCCAAATACTAGAAGGCTTCGTATTAAATCAAGTATCTAGTAATGGTCTGAAATATAAACCAGATCCTCAGGTAATAGGTATATATAGAGAAGTTATATAGATTAAGAGAGAGATATTTGGAAGGTAATTTGCTACTCGTTATTTATTAGCTATCTAGAAAATAATAGTCGGGATAAACTGCTATGGCAAGTGGGGCGTTATTAGGTAATAAAAGACAACTATTATTAATATGCCTTCTAATAGCCTCACGAAATAATAGGGTATTAAGATTATTTAGATGGGATTATTTACGAACTGAGATGACTATTTATCCCTACTAAATAAAAGGCAATTAATCTTTAATAGTTATAAGGGCGTAATTACGCTCCCTAGAATTCTGAACCAGAATACCCCATACTTGACCTATAGATTTAAAAACTTCTCTTTAATAAAACCATTTTTTTATTTCTTTCGTGGTTTTTTACTAAAGAAATATGGCTTTTAAATCTTAATTTCTGTTTCGAGCCTTATAAATTTTTTTCTCTCTTATTGTTCTTGTTTTCTCGATTCTCGGTATATTTACTTAAAAATCTTATTTCTCTAAACCAAGTTTTATTAATAAGAACTAGTGGTATACTGGTAATACTTATTAATTTTGATTATCTTTTTAATCTTTATATCCTGTTTTGCTCTTCTTATGAGTTAGTATATTAGACTAGTATTATACTTTATATATAATTAGCCCTCGTTTCTTAACTTAATATGAGTTATAAACTAAGAGTAATAAGTATCTTTACCTTGTATTACTCTCTTTGCTATTGAATTTGTTATTTTTCTTCTATATATGGCTAGTAGTATTACTATTATTATTTTGGCTATAATCTTTTCCGGGAACTTGTATATTACAAGAGGCGCTAATAGAGCTTTCTTTATCTTTAGTTACCTGGCGTGGGGCGCTTCGGCTACTATTCATGCTATTAAACTCTCGAAGATTAGGAAGGAGTCGTCTTGCGTAGAAGACATGTCTAAGAAGCTAATTAAGATAGGGTAAAGATGGAGTTACTGGAATAGCTAGCTCTCGAGTATAAAAGAATTAACTTGCTGAAATATTATCTCTAAATCTGATTAAAGTATATCTGGAATACGAGGATTATATTATCTCAAATATTTCTCCTTTTTAGCCTATTCATGTGAATCCACCGAGAAAGCAAAGCTCAGATGAACCCATATTGCAATAAACAAATTTGCCGGCTACGCAAACCGAGAGTTTGACTAAGACATGGCGGCTATCCCAAAACAGGCAGGCCCAGGATCATCATGCTTCTTCTCATTGTGATCTCAGCTCTGAGCATAGATACCCTCCAAGAGAATAATCTCCGAGAGTAACTACCAGGGGTAGGTGAACCCAACTGCTGTGTTGGGTCAGAGACGCGTAGTCCGTAATGGCGTGTTGCCGGGACGGTGAGCGGCCGCCTAGTGCAGCGAGCCCGTCTTGGCATCCATGAATGAGCGGTGGTTCCTCGAAGGGCTGTCTTCAGCTTGGCCTCGTATCTGCAACTCTGGGGCTGTACCTTCTCAGGGTCCCTGGAAATATTTCCATCAAGTCCAGTAACGCGCTTGTGGCAACATATTTCGCCCGAGAAAATTGCCGTATGACTCAAAGGATAGTGACATACCACATACTAAGTTGGCCGGAAAAGTATAAAAGGGGATGATGTCCTCTCCTTCTCACCCGGCCATACCCTCTCCTTCTCAAGTTCTTGGATTTCAATTCCCGTTGTGCCTTTTTGACTCTTTAGGTTTATAACAACAGATCGAAACGGCATCTGTTTGTCTAGGTTCGTCCACACAGTTCAATAAAATTTCTGTGAGAGTTATATTGACGCTTCTAGGCAGACATAATGGCCAACTTCGCAAAATTTGACCGCTTTCCGACCGAGATCCGCCTCCAAATATGGCATCAAGCAGCCACTGATCCGCAAGTCGTTGATGCTCGGTTTATTTACTATATTTGGGCTATGCCAAACTTCAGATCAGATTCTTATCAGAATACGACGAGTCATCTAAAAGGTCTCTTGAGAGCGTGTCGAGAGTCTCGTCGTGAGGTCATAAGAAACTTCGGCCAAAATCTCAGGCGATGGGGCACTCCTCAAAATCCGGTCCTCGTTTACTTCAACCCGTCTATCGACACGCTTTGGTTTTCGGAACATTTCATAACAGCAAGCCATCTACAGTTCTTCCTCAAGCAGTTTGAAAATGGTCTTGATAAAGTTCGTCGTGTAGCCTACCCTCTCTGGCTAGAAGAGTTGCCAGATCGCTTGGCAGATATATTTCATCACATTTATCGGCTGGAACGCATATATCTAACAGACATGTCATCTAGCGAGGACATACTGGGGAAGGCAAGCCACGCAGTGCTCCTAGAAACGAAACTCAGGCCTGAGGATGACGAAGCCCGTATGGTTGAGGTGATCAAGGCAAACCGTGGAGATCCATTACTTGTTGTCACGTGGAAGCTAGTAGAAGAGCATATCCAACAAGTCATGAAGGAAAGGATGACGAGAGATACAAGTTCGGATCGGGGCTGGACACGAGTCATTCCCGAGACGAGAATCGGAAGGATTACCTGTTGGGAGTTGCTTTGGAACCATACTTGGACTTTAGGATGTTATTGTGAATACTGTCAGTGGCGGGAGAAACGGCACCCTGGGTCCCCCTCTAGTCTAATGAGGTTACCCTGACAGTGTAAAATATAATCTCTCCTTGTTTGGATCCATGGGGTGATTTTTGTTCCATAGTTCAACCCCGTGATCTTTTCCCTCTTTGTATTTAATCCCTGTAGTGCTAGATTAGAATCCGGCACCTTTCCAGTAATCGAATATGTCCCCTTTCTTCACTACAAATGCCTTTTCCAAATGATGGGTCCTGTAGTATTGCCCAGAGTAGCCGGGTTCTCACTCTAAGACGCATACTTCGCGCCTGCAGTTATTAATAGCGAATTGCTTTGCTGGAAAGAGGTTCGCCGCCAATTTAGCATCGATAATAATAGACTTCGGTGGGAACTGAGAGGTAGAGGTTTAAAGTTTATAAAGGTTGAAGATGGATGGGAAATGGAAGAGAAATAGTGCTGCCATACTCCACCAATACATCCATCTCCACCCTCATCTTCGTTCCCGGGAACGAGGTTGCCGATAGAGAATTCTTCGTTCTCCCAACTCCGGAAATAGCATATTCTACTGGTGTGGTTTCGTTAATAACCCCTTAAATGAGCTCTGTATTGGCTTGGTGGCGTTCTCCCATGGCACAACTCCGTCACAGCATGTCTTCCCGCCCCATATGACCCCTACCAAGTTGATCCTTTTGCTCTGTTTGCCAGCACAGTTTTAGGTGCCAACGCCAATGCTGCCTTACTGAAATGCGTGAGTCTCCGGATGCCACTAGACATTGGCGATACATGAATCTCCATCTCGGTTTGCCCACTGATCTTCCCAAAGAGTCACTTGACCTTATTATATGTTGAACCAGCCCAGATGCAATCAGCAAGATAGTTTGAAGATCACAAGTCAAAAGAAATTATATAAGGCCTGCCATGATTGATGGGGAGCCGTTTCTGGCCTGGATTGAAGACTTGGATGGTCAGGATGATGACAACCAGCAATTTTAGGGAGGCAAGTGCGCTACAGGCAGGGTTTAGCGAGCGGCCGAAGCTGCGTATAACAGCGACCAAACCAGCTGAATTCAGCAGCCCAAACCGCAGTACTCAGTTATATGATATGAGCGTTGCCCGAAGTTCGCCATTAGTCAGAATAAAACGAAATCTACTCTGCTGCGCCTAAACCACCTAAACCGCCCAAACCCCGACCGATATGGCAGCCTTATCCGAAACCATTAGAACCGTTGAGAATCGATTGGTACGTCTTGTTAACGAAGCTATTAAGTACAAATTCGGTGTCAATGGTAAAGATCGCCGCATTCGCCCTGCAGACCTTGTCATAGATCCTTCCGTTAGTATACAAACTTACTACTTCCGGGATAAAGCGGTTTATAATAAAGGTCCTTGGAAAGATTTCGTTAATTATAATACCAGCGGAAAGCTCCCACCAAATACAATAGTACAGAAACTCTTTCTGGACATCGACAAGGCCGTTATTGACGGGGATATTATCGTCAAGCTTGTAGATACTCCAGGTCAGGCGATTGATTGGGATAATCTGAGAGAATGGCATTATTACTCACCTGGTATTAAGTTCAATAATGAATTTGACCATAGCCTTTCATGGGAGAGCGGTAATAAGGATGTTCGTATGGGGTACTACGTATATATTAATTATAGCAAGGGAAATGATTGTGAGGGGAATGAAAATGGAGAAGACAATAAAGATAATAAAAGTGATTAAGAGGAAGGTACTAAGGAAGATAATAGTAATAATGAAGACTATGAGCCATTAATTCAGAGCGAATAGAGCGGGAATACCTTCCTTTTTTAGGAAAGCCTAGCAAGTAGAGTTTGCTAAATATAGCACACTTGGTCATCTTTGCTAGAAAACATATCTCGAGTTAGTGCAGGCAAATTAGTGACCTGCGGAAGCTCAACTAGCTGCGACCACCAAGTCCTCCAAACGGCTCTTGAATACAAAATAATTCATTCGCCAGTTATCGCTATAAAGGTCATTTCTCTCTATCCATTCTCATAAATCATATGACGTAATAAGGTGGTCTCTCCATTAATATTTTGCGGGCTCGAACTAAGACGAATAATAAATGAATTACCATGACTACCAATTTTGTGCTGCCCCGCAATTTGCAAGCGAAAAGGTTAGAGGCTACGAACTGCCCTACTCTTGCTTAGCTATAAATAAAGGCCCACTTCTAACGCTGCCAAAAGAAAGTTAGTTCCTCTCACATATCTTCTCCGAACCCTCAAACAGTCAACTTCGTTGCAATGGCAGCACTACCGCATGTTCCGACCGCATCAAAGGAATTACTACTCCCTGACGGTCACCATCTTTGCGAAAAGGATCAGTCAATCCCCGCCCGATCAAAGCTTGACCTCGCTATCACAACAGCAAAACACAAGCGCTCTATATTTTGGTCGACTTTCCCATGCTCAATGTGGTTTGAGACCAATGCGAAGGTCGAAGTCTATTGTGTCAACCACCAGAATTGCAAATTCAAGCACGAGAGAGGATGGCAGGGAGTGATTATTGGCAAGGGCATTCATGGATCCATTAACGCTCTGTTAGCTTGGTTCAAGTACAAAAACAAGGCATTAAAGACAAGTACACCCTTGATGGGCCTATTGACTGTCTGTGCCGAGTGTCGCGGCGAACTGGATTTCTGGTATGAGGCTAATCATGTGGATCAGATCATTAACAGGACTTCTGGAAGCTTGATCCTTGGTCTATCAGACAAAGAGGTTGAAGAAGTGGCCTCTAGCAAAGCAATCATTATGGAGGGGGCGCTTATGGATATGATCGAGACAGTGGCCATAGATGGCCAATGGACGAAGTGGCACATGTTGACGCCAGTTTTCAAGAACTGATAGATGAGCTGGACGAGGAATTGGTTCCAAGACATTCTTTTGAGTTTGAAGTTACATGTATGTTGATGTTGGAATAGTATTACTCAAAAACAGGTTTTGCAACACCGTAATACAGCCTTAATACCCGTGTCCCCTATATAGCACAACCCGCTCGATACGGCACATCGATAGGTGGGACCCATCGTGGCTTGGAATACGAGAGATATTTTAGGATATTTATCCTGTAACTGCGAAGTAACCATTTAGAATTCGTGGATCCACTTTCCCGGAGATAGGTGGGTAGATGCGGTGGATGCCTCAAACCGGTGATAGCCCTGCGCTGTCCTTGGAGCGGCCGCGTCGGAGCTGCCTGGTCGGACCAGGGCCAGCGTTGTTGCGGCATAAATACTGCACTTCTGCCCACCGAATGCTCCTCTCCTATCCACCTTCTCCAACGTACACGATCAAAACGCCCTCCCTTAGCACCTACTTCGCAAATCGTTATCGCTAGCCCTCTACCTTTCTTATAGACATCTAATTCACTTTATTGCCAACTGCGTACGAGCGCTGCAAGTTATCTCGGCGTACATTTATAATGACGATGTCAGCTACCACAATAACCCGAGATGGCTCAACGCCTACGTCCTTTCAAGACCTCTCCATCGAACTCCAATTACAGATCTGGACGTGCGCTCTCCCAGGCCCTCGAATTATCCAACTGCATTATCTGAATGGTGTCTTCTTCTTCCGTGGTGCTCCTCCTCCACTGGTACTTCACATATGCCGAGCTTCTCGAGAAGTAGGCCTCAAAGTTTTTGAGAGTATTTTTGATCTCAACGATAAGCCGATATATATTAATTTCGCTTACGACACTCTCCATCTCGCTACCAGCCCTCGGATGTGTAAGCAATTTACTAGCTTATACCCTGGAATCACAGAGAAGATCGAGTCTCTTGCGGTTGAAATAACCTCGGAAGAGGAGCGCGAGGAGGCAGTTATCAATATTGTCACTTCACATCTCAGTAAACTTAGGGAACTCATCTTTGTCGCCGGAGGAGGAATGGAGAGGATGTTAGCAATCAAGTATCCAGAGAAAGTTATGTTTCTTGAGCCAGAACCTATGCCCGATCCCTGGCGGCATTAGAAACCCTGGACGGAGCTTATGTCCCACTTTAAAGGTTGTGTAGTGCGAGTTGTGCGAGCCGAGATAGTTTGTGGAGGTAGCAGGGACGATGATCAGTGAGGGCAAACATCACAGATGACGTCGTTAAGCCATTGTCAAATCTTTACTTTCTATCCTTCCTTGCTATAGGCTCTCTAAGCTTCTCTATCGTTCACTTCCGAAGATTTCCGCCCTTTCTTCCTTCTTCTCCCCTGATAACCGTTCATATACGGGAGAAAGTGCTCCCTCCATGATTGTATATATGCCCTAAGGGCGGGACGAAGTGCGGATGGTGCGGTGGGCGAGGGTGCTTCTGCTGGGCTCTGTGGAGCTCTAGCCGGACGCTGGTCTATCACACTCGGTCAGCAAAACCTATGCGAGTCAAAATAAGGAAAAGTTCAGAACTTACGCAATGTAGCAGAGCTGCGAGTCTACGTCAAGCAGATAGACAGGCAAAGTTATTTTACGACACGTTCAGCCAAGAACTTGTCGATTCCCGCTTTCTGCGTCACGTCGCAGCCATCGGCATCGAGTACCTCGCGGTAGGAAGAGCTCGTCCTCTTCTTGGTTTTGCCTACGGGCGCTCACAGCTAAGTATTTTCGGCGTACATCCAATAGTAAGGGAAATATGGTCCGTTTGTTTGGACTCGTAGGTGATCCAGGTCTCGCTGGCGTTATAAAGGCTAAGTGTCTGGTGGTGGCGACCCAAGCACATATAGCATCATTCTGATTTCATGTTTTCTAGATTTACACAGAACTATTCCTTTTTTGAACCTTCTCTAAATAAAAAGATATCCTCTTCCCTCCACTATTTGACTTCACGACAAGGATTAACAGTCTCTATCCGGAAGAGCCTGGAAGCTTCCCCCAAACTTTCAGCTTGCCTCGCTCATCAAGAGATACTTCTTTATTACTAATCCAGATACTATCATAAGTTTTCCTCATATAGCTAATCTCATTATTAGTAATGCCTAGCTCGTTCTTGGGAATCTAGAGGAAGGGACGAGCTGAAGTCAGAGCCTTATCTTAAACAGGATTTGCTTGGTTGGGCCAAACTACTTATATCTTTAGCCTTTTTTTCTAGATCTTGGTCTAATAAAGCCTTACCTCTATTATCGATTTGATCCGCTTGCTTGATAATCTTTGCAAACGGTAGCTATTATAGCCTATGTCCATGATTTAGGCTATAGTGAAATAATGTAGTAAATACCATAGTAAATATTATAATTATTTCTTGCATAGTATATGCGGCTTTGCTATCTGCGTTATATATAAGAAAGAATAGACCGGCCAAGCATAATTCCATGAAATAAACCCTTATAAATAGCTAGCGTATTACGATAGGGTAAAATAGGCCGCTGGGTTCGAGATTAAGTTCCATGAGTTTTAGTAAATAGGACTAATATAATAGCCAAAGTGCTCTAAAGTAAATAGTACTAAAGATTAGAATAAAAGAAGTAATTACTAAATAGATAAGGCCTAAAGGCTATATTAGTTATATACCTCGACTATAAACTAAAGAACAAACCTATATATATAGTATTTATAAGTACTAGTATAAAGGTTCCCTATTTATATAGCCCTAAAGCCCGTCCTCTTATTTACTTTTATCTGGCGGTTTTATTAAATATAGGGGAAAGAATAAATAGGGCTAGGAGCTCGTTAACTTCTACGAGAGTTAAAGTAATAGTCGTGAATATATTAATTAGGATATAAGAAAAGAAGTAATTATATGCCTTTAGTAAATTCTGAGCTAGGATTACTAGGGTTAAGGTAATCTTATTTGCCAGATCTCTAATAATAATTATAATGCTAGCTAATAGGGAAATAGTAAGAAATACCTATATAAATAAGAATATATAGTAGTAGATCTAAATATAGTTCTTAATAACTCGACGCGAATAATGTCCTTATATATTTGCGAGCAGGCATAATGCTTCTGAGACTATAATAGTAATTAGGGCTAGTATTACGGGAAGTAAAACTCCTTAAATAACTGCTATTAATTAACTTGGGAGTGAATCTATTTACTATAGCCATGAAACTATATTAATTAAGTACTTAATCTGAGAAAGTAATCCTATAATTATAATAGGAAATATAAAGCCAAGTATAAGGAAGGTAATAAAGAAATAAATAATAGCTATTTGAATATATTACTACTACTAGCTAATTGAGATATTATGCCATATTATATTATTAGCTATAGTTTCCTATTTAAGCGTTTAGGTAGGGGGAACTCGTGCTTTAAGTACTAGAGTAATAAGTAGTATTAAGAGTATTCTATTAAAATAAATAAAAGCAGAGTTTATAGGAGGAAACTTATTTAGATAAAGTTAATACTACTTAATCTCGAGATTATATTAAGTAATTTCTGCCCGTAAATAATAGATTAAATTAACCTGAGGCCTAATAAATAATATAGCCGGAAGCTATAGGAAAAGCGGGAGGCATATAAATAGGCAGTTCTTTTAATATAGGTACTTTATCTAAGATAGTAAAGTAGTACTACTATTATTATTATCTCTAACTTTTTAACTAATTCTTTTTTATTAATTTACTTTCTTTATAAAGATAGTCTTAGTAGTCTTTAACTTCCTTATTAATGTATTTTATTAGTATAGTTTTGCATATAAGTTAGAAAAATCCCGATTTATTATTACCTCATATATGCCTCTATATATATTATGAAACTATTACTTAATTATATTAATAGAGAGTTATTTCTCGGATCTCGAGATAAGAAAGAAGTATACTTTTCTATAACTATCTTACCTGAAGCTGCCCTAAAGTCTAGTATAGTCCCGGAGCTCTCCTTAGATACTATAACAGACTATAATAATAGCAAATATTATAAGTACTAGGTAAGCCTAGTATTTACCTATATATAAGAGACTAATATTTAAAAAGCTTAAGTAATCTAGTTCTCTAATACCTCCAAGTTAGTTCCTGCTATTAATAATATTTAATAAAAGAAGAATTAGTAGTATTATTAGCCCGAGTAAAGCGAAAATCCTTAGTATAATCTATATATATTAGTTAAAGAAGTAGTTTTCGAATCCAGATATATATTTTAAATTAGGATCCGGTATTAGTGAGAAAAGTATTCGTATATATAATAAAGTTAGTTTCTATTTCGAATCCGGAATTTAATATACTTATTAGTAGTTATTTATTAGTATAATTCTCTTTAAAATAAATTATATTATTTACTAGTACCCGGAAAATTTCTATTTTAGAAATAAATATACCATAATCCCTAATCCAAGAATTACTCCTAATATTATAAGGAATACCAAAAAAGTGCCTAATAACTTGCCCTAAGCCTTCTGTGCTTTTCCCGTAACCTAATTAAAGATATTATTAATGCTATTATTTATGATTATAAGTAATAATATAAGTAAATAAGAATAAAAATAATAATAAAACGAATCTATAGGCGAACTATAGTCTAAAGGAAAGAAGTTAGGATAGCTTTCTAAAAGAATATTTAATCTTAAATTATTAAACGAGTAAGTCTATCTATATTATAAATATAGCGGTTATTATATTATCCGGATCTTATATCCTAATAATTACTAGGCTATCCGGATCTTATATCTTTTAATAACTTATCTAGTAATTATAAAATTAGGAATAGTAGTAAATTTCAAGCTACTGGGAATAATTACTCTTCTAGTAATTTTTTAATAATATATATAGGTATGGGTTATATATTATTTATTATATTACTATTTGGGTTTGTATTTAGATAAATAATATTAGGTAGCTCTAATTAAAGTAAGTTTTAGTATCTAGCTAAAATTTCATAAAATTTGAGTTTCCTACTAATATAAATAATATCTAAGTAATTATTCCTACTCTAGTATTTAGAGCTCTAAGTCCGAGATTTCACTTTTATTATCTATATTTATAATTTGCATACCCAGATCTATAATATCCTTATTTTTAGTTTCTACTTTATTTAACTAATTAGAATTATTATTAGAAGCTTAACTTTCCTCTTTATTAGACTTGTCTTTGCCTAGATCTTTATTATTATTATCTAAACCTTTAATATCCTTATTTTCTGCTTACTTTTTATTGGATTCGTCTCTATTAAGGCCTTTTTCAAAATCCATAATCTTTATACCCTTGCGTTTAATATCCTTATCTTTGGTTTCTTCTTTATACTTATTAATATAGTTATTATCTTCTGACTCTAATAGTAAAGTATTATTATTAGTAAGAAACCTTAAAGTCATATGATTTCTAAGACCTTTGGGGCCTACCTATAGGTCTACTATTAAGACATCTGGTTTATTTATATTACTAATAATGAGACGTAGTACTATTATATTAGTATGCTCTTAGTGGAACTAAAACGGCAGCCTATCTTTAGTACTAAGCCCTGCTTGAACTAGTAGTATCTTGAGGTTAATTAAGTAATCCATATTAAACTTTGTAATATTAACTAATAAATGCCCCCTTTTCTTCTATACTCGCTTTTTATTATAGAGATTATTCTATTTAAATAAAATATCTCTATTTACGAGTAAAAATTTAAGACTACTATTATTAAACCGGGCTTGTAGTAAATTATTAATATAATGCCACGAGTAACTATATCCTTCCATAATGCTCTATAGCTTATAGAGTACCTCTTGCTTTAATAACGCTTCTATTCATAAAACTTGTTGCTTTGCCCATAGTCTGAGGTTATAGGAACTATTATTGTGGTAAACCATATCTTGGAGAGATGGATTAGCTACTATAAGGATTTGAGCTCTGCTTAGGTTAGAAATAAAGAGAAGAAAATATTTTAATCTTGACTATTTTTGTATTTTGGTTTTGGATATTAAATATTCTATATAATATTAGTACGATTATTAATAGGTGGCCCTCAACTTCAGGTATTATTACTACTAGTGGGTTTATCTAGGAGGCACTAAACTCTAGGGCGGGTTCGGGATCGGTTACTGCCGGTAGTGCCCTCAACTTCAGGTGTTATTACTACTAGTGGGTCTATTAGAAGGCGCTAAACTTTCGGGTAGCATTTAATAATTCGGGATTTATCCCGTTATTGGCCCTTAGATTAATCCGGACCTCTTGGAGGTACGACTGCTAATTTAAGTCAACCGCACCGGTGCGTTATTACTAGCGTGACCTTAATATTGGCCATCCAAGGTAGGGCCGAAATCATTACCTTTACTTTCTACTAGCTATCCGCAATGCCTCTACCCG